TTGAGTATGTCAGCTATCTCTCACATGGTATAACGTTGATTGTTCTCAATATTGTTTCGATTTGATCGCTATCTACTTCAACTGGTCTACCCGACTGTGGAGCATCGTCCAGTGAGAAATCTCCAGCACTAAACTTTGCAAACCACTTTTGACACGTTTGATCAGTCACAGCACCTTCTCCATACACTGCACAAATCTTTTTGTGTGTTTCAGTTGCATTTTTACCTTTCTTGAAATAATAAAGCATAATATGGCAAAATATTGCCTTTTTCCTTCCATCTTCAATATTAAAATGGTTACAGAAAACTTTACCAATTTTGATAAGTTTTTTTTTTTTAATGCACGCTGATATGACAGCTGTCACCTAAAATCTAACAAAATTGTTTTGAATGAAGTTAAAGACAACTAAGTGCTACTAAAGCCATCTTACGGAAAATAAATGAACCTTTTGGCCCACCCAATACTTCCACTGTTATATTATTGTTTGAATATTTACCATTTGGATGTAAAATTTTATGGGCTAGAACTGTTATTTTGTTTCTTTCTAGCTCAGGACCTTGAGCAATGTACATAATAGATGCTTACTAAAATTAGCTGAATGAATGGAAATAAAGTGATTTAAGAAAATTTTAGTTTTTCAATGCTTTAAAATTTCTGTTTATACTTTAAAGCTCTTTAAATGGAAATATATTATTACCAGTATGTGTAATAACATTAAATGACCCATTCTTCAGTTCTTTCTATTTAATGACTTGTTGATTAGTTAATAATATTAGTATTACTCATATTTGCATAGTTTACTCTATGTCAGATAATATATGAAGTACTTTACAGGAATTCTTTAATCTCCATAATAATCATCTGAAGCAGGCACTGTTGTAATCCCAATTTAAGTTGAGGAAACTAGGGCTTTGAGAGCATATATGTGTCTTCTCTAAGTGTAACTCTGTCGTATACAGAAACCTTCTATACTATAATGACAGTAATTGATTTTTATCTTAATTAAAAAAAATTCTTCTGAATGTATAAGGACACAAAAGTAATCAAGGTAATTTCATAGAAATATTCTATTTTATTTTTCAGGGTTTTATGACAATAGAAGAGTATGGAGTTTACTTTTTTATATGTAAACTAATTGAAGGCAGCATTGTTAGAGAGTAATGTAATTGTACTACATAAGGTATTCCCTGAAGTTTACTGTGTCATATATTACTAGCTGAAATCATACTGTTTAATATTTTTCTTATATTATCAAAATGTAAATCAATACAGTGAACAATTATTCTTCAGGTAATGTGGTATAGTAGAAAGTGCTTTGAATTAATAATTAAGAGATTAGTTCTTTAAATAGTTCTTTAATAAAGATCATGGTACTTTGTCTTCTTCTAATGGTATCGTGGCTCTCATTAGTTCTTGTCTGGACTACTGTGATACCCTCCTCACCTGACCTGATGATCAAGTCTCTTCTAGCATCCTCTCCCTGTTGCAGAATCACTCTTCTGAAACAGTTTTGACCATGTCACTTTCCTACCTCATGATATTGCCTACCCAATAAAATCCAAACAATTTAGTGTGACATTCAACTTTTCAAAGAATACCATTTTTTAAAATTTTACCATTTACTTTACATGATTGTCCTTTATCACCAGCTCCTGCCAATTTCTTCCTGTAAATGCTGGCTGCCCTGGGCAATCACTGTCCCATCACACTAGGCAAAGCGTCATTCCCTGAGCATGAAAACCCTTGGTTTTCTGTCTTTAAATTCTAGCTTTCTCCAAATTTTAGATTGCTTTCTTTGTTCTTCAGGTTTTACCTTGTCTCAGGCTACTGTACCATCCCACTTTTAGAGAGAAATTAAAGTATTTTAAGCCAGTTAAATTAAACTAGTTTCTAAACAGTTTAAACAGTTGTATTGACGCTGTTTTATAATAGATACCTAATTCTGCCTTAGATGTTGACTCTCTCAGGATAGGCTAAATTATGCTTCAGTAGCAAGCAACCTCCAAATCTCAGTGGTATAAAACAACAAAGGTTTATCTTTTGCATCTTCTTACTTTGCACAAAGGGAGTTAAATGACCACTGATGGCAGTGGAGGCTCATGAAAATATTTTGAGCAATTATACTTAAAACAGAGCAAGTATATTGCTGCCAAAATGGGAATTTGAAATGCAGCATTTGAAGTGAACATTCAGATTGGTGTGAAAATCAGTCTCATGACTTCATTGTTATGCCTCACGAATGCACATTGAAGAAATCATGGCCAACCTTCTCCAAGTAAACAGTAATTGTGCTAACTCTAAAAATGCCCTTTCATTCACCCTCTCTGATGTGAATGTAAGTAACACTAGTGACTTGTTTAGTACTCATTCGAGTTTAAAGAAATGTCTGCTATTTCACATATGAAATCTGCAAGCTTTATTTCCTATGGATTTTAACCATTCACAACTGTGCTGCCCGGTGCCATAGTAAATATCAAATCTTCATCTTTAAATATGTCATTAAACAAATCTGTCCTTAAAAGATCCACTGACAAATTTTATTCCAACTTGCAAACAATTTAGTTATGGGCTTTCTTGTGGACCTAAAAAAACAAACAAAAAAAACTTTCTCCACAGTAATTCTAATCCTTAAAAATGGGAAGAATGAAGTAAAAGTCAATCTTTATGCAATGTTTTAGTTTAAGACTACATCAAACTAAGTAGTTAAAAGAATAACAAAACAAAATATATTTCAGAATTTAGCATCGATTAGCAAGAAGAAAAGTGAAATATACAGATTAAAATATCAGATATTGAAGTTCTCTGTTGTTTCATTATTGTTGATAGCAGTAAACATTATAAATCTCAAGTTTACCAGGCAGAATGTCATGCAATTTGTCAAATCCAGTTTAGCTAAAATGAGGTTTGTTGTTGGCACAATCAGCTTGTTAATTTGGTTGGCACTTATTTTACTGCTCTTGCATAAATACTCAACTATAAACTGCAATATACATTTTAATTTTCTGGCCAACAGATTAAACAAAAGACACGTATTTATTCAAGTTGCGTTGTAGTTACACTGATTATTGCCATCAAGATTTTCCTCAAGACTCTTTTCTCCAAGTTTTGATTCAAATTAAAGTCAGACTCTACCACATTTTCACTAATAATCTTGATGTCTGTTATCATTTAATGTTTACATAATTATAACTCTTTAGAAAGTCCAACATTTCAGGTGAATAATTTTCTTAAATATGATTATTTTTGGTTCTGAATGTATTTAATGGTATGTGTGTTTTTATAATTATAACAAGCCATTGAAAACACAAGTTTCTTTTCAATGAGAATGCAAACAACCAGAAAACTCAAATGTCAGTATTAATTTTTCACATTATTTTTATAAGTAATATATAATGTGTGTGTGTGTGTGTGTGTGTGTGTGTGTGTAGGGCCTGACTTGAGATGTAAATAAAAGAAAATCTCTTTAGAGATTTCAGTATGAAATTATTATAAATTCAGCTTAATCTCATATCACAGAATGTTAAGCCTGAAAGAGTATATATTTAAATCACTCATCTTCAAAAGAAGAAACAGGTTGAGACACCTAAATTAATTTCCTCAAAGAATTTCACAATCTTAGACACAAAGCTAAAGCAAGAACCCTGGTCCAGTGTTCATTCCACTATATCTAAGTGCATCAGTCCAGCTTTCTAAGCCACTAGGGAACATTTACATTATGCAAAGTATTAAATATGTTAGTCAAGAAGCTTAATATCTGGTCCCTGCACTCAAGAATTTATAGTTTGATTTAATGTTTTATAAGCTAAGACACTTTCAGTAGTAAGTCTCCCCCCAAAATCTAACTCAATCTGCATTTTAAAAATAACTTAATGCATATGTTCCCATCCAGGTAGGACAGAGGAGGTAGGTAAGCTCATGATTGGTTGTTTTAGCTCCACTCCCATGTTTTCTGTTTCCCTAACACAAGGTTATCCTAGAGTCAGTTCGTTCAGTGGCTTCCAGAAGCAATCAAAGTTGTATTTTCTAGCTCTTATCCAATGAAACACAGAAAAAACTAGCAAAAGAGGAAACTAGCAAGCCACTTGGTCCTACCTCACTTGTCTAAGGTGACTTAGCTTGCCCACTCCTGAACCAGTCACATACAAGGAAGATAGAGTAAATATTTTGGCTTAGGTAGCCAATAGGACATGGACATTGGGGACTCAAATATCCATTATCAATATATTAGTTTATTCTCAATTAATTAGTATTGACCACCAAAAATGATTCCCTTCAAAAGTCTTTGCCTACATATGCATAAGTCAGCCAAGGATGTAATTTTTAAGAGGATAGTTTACCATTTTTTTCAATCATGGCTTTGTCATCTGTATGACTCTGGGCAAAAAACTTATTTGTGCCTCAGTTTACTCATGTGTTTAGTGGAGGTAATACTGCTAATCTCATATATTTTAAATTAATTAATATAGTAAAATGCTTATAACTGCATGACATATAAGTATTTTATCAGTGTTATGTGCAATATTACTAGGTTTGTTGGTATTGCTATTATTGCCTTATAACTAATAAGACAAAAAAGACCCATATTATATTTAACACAAATATTTAAGGACAATTCTTTGTTTACAAATTGCATTTAGTGGGAGCTAACATCTGATGGAAAGTGATTGTTACAATTAGAACACCTTTACTACCTACAGATTCCTTATTATGTTTTCCTCTCATGTCAACTCTTCAAAGAATTTCCTTCTAATTCTACAATAAAATACTTCCGAATCTTTCAAGCTAAAAATCAGACTTTTAGTGACAGCAACATCAAGCCACCTTCCCCATTAAATGAGTGGGGTCACAGAGCTCTGCTGGTTACTTGAAGATGAACAATAGGTATTTCCTATTGTCTAGGACAGTGGTTGGCAAACCTTTTCTGTAAAGGGCCATAGAGCAAATATTGTATTTGAGGCTTTGTGAGCCACAGGATCTCTGCTGAAATGATTAAATTCTACCGCTGTAGCGTGAAAAGTCGTAGAGAACATGTAAAGGACTAGGCATGGCCATATTCCAATAAAGCTAAATAACCCAAAAAGCATGTGTAAAGCTCTACAACAGGATGTTCTTGTCTCAAAAAGTAAAACACTTAGACCCTATGGTTAATCAAGACTGTGGCCAAGAATAAGTAAAGGGTATCAAAAAACTGGGAAAAGTTGGGTTTCTGAAGAATGTTATTTTCTCAACCTTGATGGTTTCTTGCATGTGGGGGGAGTTTCCTTAGACTGAAATTCCTTTCTTCCCCCCATGTGCCATGGGAGCATGAGATGATTACCTGTTTTGTGCACTTAGAATGAGAAACAAGCAGGTCCTTCCCTCTCCTTCCTCCTTCTGGTGGTTCCGGGGATAAACTTCTCCTCTTCTGCTCCATGGTTAGAGGTGCTGGCCTGCTTCTGTGCAGGTCAGCCTCTCCTGGTCCAGTGCGAACAGTAACCAGGTGAGCAAGGCTGTTTGAGTCTCTGGCTTGATATGCAGTAACTTCCTTGCTCTCAGATTCAAGGTACATTCTGGAAGTAACTTGACTGGTAATAAAGGTGAAGCTATGATTTTGCACGTACCACTTGTCAATTTTTATTTTACTTCAGACTCACATGGGGGAGAGGGGTGCTGTTTCCTGAATGTTTTCTCAAACTCTAATATCTGTTGCATTGTTCAAGACACATAGAAAAAGATGATAATTTTGTAGAGGCTTATGGAGAAACCAATTCCCGTAAGTTTGGTTATCAATTAATTAATTTATTTTTAATGAGTTCAAATGTCTCTTTATTCAAGGGGAACAAACCATGGACTGGGGGAGTCCAGAGCCTCCCAAAGAAGGGGAGCAGTCTTCTTGAGGGATTTGGGGCAAGAGCCAGTTTTCTAGAGCTTTACAAGCAGCAAGTGGAAACAGGGCATGATTGGCTGGGGTGGTTTATCTGACCTTATTTAGCAAGATCGAAGAACGGGAAATAAGTTTGGGGGGCAGTGTTGACTGGACATACTGTGATTCTCATCAAGTGGAGCATTTACAGGAACAGAATTCTGGAGAAGAAGCAGCTCCATCTCCAGCCTAGAAATTTATTTCCACACTCCTAACACCTCCTGTTCCCTGGGGGACATAGGACGGACACCAGGTTCCCAAACTCTCCTGGCTTGTTCTGCCTCCAAGCCTTTACACGGACTGGTCCCTCTGCCTATGATGCACTCTGTCCGTCCCCATCAGACTTCCTGAGAGAAATGAGGACCTGCCCAGAGTCCTGGTCCCCAGGCTCCCACTGCAGGCTGTAGGGCTTGGGTGGGGTCAGTGTCCAGAGCCAGCGCATAACCCTGGCTGCCAGCATCGGTCTGTGCGGGAAGAGCAGGAGGGAAGACTGAGGACTGAACTCTCCCCACCCCCAACGCGGCTCCCTGCGCCGGGGTCGGCTCTCTCTTCCCTCCTGGCTTGTTTTTTGTCACCTTACAACCCGCGAGCATCCTGGGGCCTCTGGGCATTACATTTTAACATGTGGAAACATTTTGTCTTGGTGGTTGGTAGAGGCTAATATGAACCATGAGGTGTTTTTAAATTGACGTTTTACTCTTGTGACTTGGGCAGGCGTCTTTAGACCTTGAGTGATGAGCACTTGGGATTTCTAGCATGTTGGTGCTATAGAGGGAATGTTTGTGTCCCCTCAAAGTTCTCGTAGTGAAACCAAATTCAAATGAAACCTAATGGTTAGGTCCTGAGGGTGGGGCCCTTATAATTGAAATTAGTGCCCTTGTAAAAGAGATCCCAGAGAGCTAGCTAGCCCCTTCTGACATGTGAGATTACATGGAAAAGACAACCCCAAAGGAAGTGGGTTCTCACCACCCTCAATAGCTACTGTCTTGTTCCTGGTCATCCCAAGCTCCACAACCATGAGAAATAAATGTCAGTCGTTTATAAGTCACCTGGTACGTGGTATTTTGTTATAGCAGCCCTAACAGACTAGACATAGGATCACATCAGCTTATCATACCCATGTTCACAGGTGGGCCATCTTCCTGAACTTTAAGGGAATGGCATGAAGACTTTACCTACTTTAAGCAAAAGCGATCTTTGCTAGGTACATGCAGACTATGAATCCCTCTACCAGTTGAGCCTGTGCACAGGCCTGGCAAGCAGACTATGTTGATTCAGCAAAGGCATGGGATTTGGCAAACACTGTACTTCAGCAAATCATGCAAAGCCAAAAGGTGGCCATTGTAGATTTTAAGCAAAATGTTGACCATGAACATTATGAAGAAGAAGCCTGGCGTTGTGAGTTTCAGCAAAAGGCCCCCTCCAAATCTCTAACTGACTAAGCTGGTCTTAGTTGCAGGATGCTGTGGCTTTACCTTAAACTACTTAGGTTTGCTTTGTACCTTCACGGCTAAAGGCAAGACATGATTATAGAAGAAACAAGGTTTCTATACAGGGTTTAGGAACTGGGGAGCAGCACAGTATTTACTACTTTAAACTATGAGGTAAATTATTTCGATGAATTCTCCAGTTAGGTTTTATTTTAAAATTGTTAGTATAGCGAGACGAGGGGAAGATGGCGGAAGAGTAAGACACGGAGATCACCTCCCTCCCCACAGATACACCAGAAATACATCTACACGTGGAACATCTCCTACAGAACACCTACTGAACGCTGGCAGAAGACCTCAGACCTCCCAAAAGGCAAGAAACTCCCCACGTAACTGGGTAGGGCAAAAGAAAAAAGAATAAACAGAGACAAAAGGATAGGGATGGGCCCTGCACCAGTGGGAGGGAGCCGTGAAGGAGGAAAGGTTTCCACACACTAGGAAGCCCCTTCGTGGGCAGAGACTGTGGGTGGCCGAGGGGGAAAGCTTTGGAGCTGCAGAGGAGAGCACAGCAACAGGGGTGCGGAGGGCAAAGCAGAGAGATTCCCGCACAGAGGATCAGTGCCGACCGGCACTCACCAGCCTGAGAGGCTTGTCTGCTCACACACCGGGGTGGGCAGGGTTGGGAGTTGAGGCTCCGGCTTCAGTCGGATCTAAGGGAGAGGACTGGGGTTGGCGGCGTGAACACAGCCTGCAGGGGGTTAGTGCACCACGGCTAGCCGGGAAGGAGTCCGGGGAAAAGTCTGGACCTGACGAAGAGGCAAGAGACGTTGTCTTCCCTCTTTGTTTCCTGGTGCACGAGGAGAGGGGATTAAGAGCGCTGCTTAAAGGAGCTCCAGAGACGGGCGTGAACCGCGGATAACAGCGCGGACCCCAGAGACGGGCATGAGACGCTAAGGCTGCTGCTGCCGCCACCAAGAAGCCTGTGTGTGAGCACAGGTCACTATCCACACCTCCCCTCCCGGGAGCCTGTGCAGCCCGCCACTGCCAGGGTCCCGGGATCCACGGACAACTTTCCCAGGAGTACGCAGGGCATGCCTCAGGCTGGTGCAACGTCACGCCGGCCTCTGCCGCCGCAGGCTCGCCCCGCACCCGTACCCCTCCCTCCCAGCTGCTCCTTTAACCCCGCTCTGTCTGAGCGAAGAATACACGCCCTCCAGCGACCTACATGCAGAGGCCAGGCCAAATCCATAGCTGAGCCCTGGGAGCTGTGAGAACAACGAAGAGAAAGGGAAATCTCCACCAGCAGCCTCAGAAGCAGCGGATTAAAGCTCCACAATCAACTTGATGTACACTGCATCTGTGGAATACCTGAATAGACAACGAATCATCCCAAATTGAGGAGGTGGACATTGAGAGCAAGATTTATTGTGTTTTCCCCTTTTCCTCTTTTTGTGAGTGTGCATGTTTATGCTTCTGTGTGAGATTTTGTCTGCAGAGCTTTGCTTCCAACATTTGTCCTAGGGTTCTATCCATCCGTGTTATTTTGTTTTTATTTTCCTTAAAATATTTTTTTCCTTTAAATTATTTTTTATTTTAATAACTGTATTTTATTTTATCTTACTTTATTTTATTTTAACTTCTTTCTCTCTTTCTTTCCTTCCTTTCTTCCCTCCTTCCTCCCTTCCTTCTTCCATTCATTCTTTCTTTCTTTGTACGTTTTCTCCCTTTTATTCTGAGTCGTGTGGATGAACGGCTCTTGGTGCTGGAGCCAGGAGTCAGTGCTGTGCCTCTGAGGTGGGAGAGCCAACTTCAGGACACTGGTCCACGAGAGACCTCCCAGCTCCACATAATATCAAATGGTGAAAATCTCCCAGAGATCTTCATCTCAACACCAGCATGCAGCTTCACTCAACGACCAGCAAGCTACAGTGCTGGACACCCTATGCCAAACAACTAGCAAGACAGGAACACAACCTCACCCATTAGCTGACAGGTTGCCTAAAATCATAATAAGGTCACAGACACCCTAAAACACACCACTGGATGTGGTCTTGCCCACCAGAAAGAGAAGATCCAGCCTCATCCACCAGAACACAGGCACTCGTTTCTTCCACCAGGAAACCAACACAACCCCCTGAACCAACTTTAGCCACTGGGGACACTTCAAAAACAATGAGAATTACGAACCTGCAGCCTGCAAAAAGGAGACCCCAAACACAGTAAGATAAGCAAAATGAGAAGACAGAAAAACACACAGCAGATAAAGGAGCAAGATAAAAACGCACCAGACCTAACAAAAGAAGAGGAAATAGGCAGTCCACCTGAAAAAGAATTCAGAATAGTGATAGTAAAGATGATCCAAAATCTTGGAAATAAAACAGACAGAATGCAAGAAACATTTAACAAGGACCTAGAAGAACTAAAGATGAAACAAGCAATGATGAACAACACAATAAATGAAATTAAAAATACTCTAGATGGGATCAATAGCAGAATAACTGAGGCAGAAGAACGAATAATTGACCTGGAAGATAAAATACTGAAAATAACTAATGCAGAGCAGAATA